CACAGCATTGTGTTTTTCAGCACTGTGCTTGTTCATCCAATTTTTCAGCTGGACTGAGACACTCACAGGTGGGATGACTCTCCCAGACATGTATTGAGTCAAGCGCATCGTCAGAATTAGGATCCAGGTTCCTTCTGCCTCTGAGCACAGCTGCACACACAGATATCACTTGTCAGTTCTGCCGACAACAGCCATGCCATTGTAAGCATGTAGGACATCTCGAATGGCTCACTACCACAGGAGGAGCTGAAAAGAATGTCCTTATGGAGAAGAAGAGATGACAAAGATAGACTTGCAAACCAAGAAACAGGGAAAGGGTTACTAAACTACCTTTCCATGAATGGGGCATTTACCTTTTTAATTATACATGTCTTTTATCTTGTGCACTGTACATAGTTTGCTAAGATTATGCTTTCGGGAGTTTTTGCCTAAGCCTTTCTTTCCAAAACAAATGCCTCACTGCTTTTCTTTTGCAAATAAAATGATACCATTAGTTCAGTGCTATTGAAGAGCTGGGCAGTAACAAACAATGTGCAGCAGAAACGCAGGAAGAAGAGGGGGAGGAAAAAGCAAATATTTGTTAAAAGCAGAAAAGGAAAAAAAAAAGCATTTTCTAAACAGGAAAGAGGTAGCTTGGAAGCAAATTTTACAATGCATTGCGAGGAAAAGCTTCTGTGGCAGGAAAAAATAATGATCTAACTACCCATTTTTTTAGGAAGAAATAAACAGCAAAGCTGCTTTCATATATGAATGACACTTACATACTCCCACAGTAAGGGAACATGATTGAAGTTGCCAAGATAAAGAGAAAAATGAGGAAATTCCAGAATTAAAATTGCCTGAGAAGGCTTTGTGTGGCCAGTTTTTTTGTATGCATGATGAGACCATCTTTTAATCACAAAAATCACAAAATAATTTGTCCACAGGGCCATCCTTGCTTAGTGCAAGGGGATGGACGCTTCTCACTTAATGAAAACCTATTCTGGGCTTTGTTTTCCACTTAGCAAGTGATCCTATCCCTCATTTACGGCTTACTGCTCAAGCTCCACTCAGAAAAGTAATGCACTAATGTTTTCTGTGAGCTCTTCCAGATTGCTCATCAATGCAGCCTTGACTTTTTTAAGAACTATCAAAGCATTTATGTTTACAATAGCACTATGAGGGGAGGGCTGACTTGGCTCAATTTTAGACACAAGCGCAATTCATGTCAAAACACAACTGCTAATTTTACGTGCCCTTTTGAGGATGCCCGGCTTTTCAGACTAAAACAGCATCAGGTTGTACATCGTATCTTTCAAATGATAATGATGGAGGTCAACATCTAGGTGCTTTAACCATCAGACTGATCTGTCAGATCAACTCTCTTCCCTAAAACTTCTGGGGTTTGTTTATTAATTCCCTCAGTAGAATTCATCGCATTGGTTTTATATCTGCCTTTGTCTCGTGCAATTCTAGACATGCTGGAGAAGATGGGCACATCTCAGGGTGAGACAGCAGGTACTCTGTGACTGCCACCAGGAGATCGGCTTTGTCTGGATGTTTTCCTCTTTAAAAACTGCAAAAGCTAGACAAGGTGAAGCCAATCCCTGCTAGTTTGTCAAGTGCACCCTGCAGGAGGGGGCTGCCAACTTTTGCCAGAGCCCTCCACCGACTGTCCTTACACTCACACCCTGGAAGCCCACTTGGGCACCTCTCCTGTATTATCTGTGCTGTGGAACTGCAGAGTTAATTCTGAAAACAACATCTGAAAGTCCTGTAAGTACCTTGAGGCTCATGCCCACTCTCAGTGTGATTCTGTGTGTGAATCTCTCCCCAGGCATTATCCTACTGATGTCCTGAAGGCATCATTATATTCCCGAAATCAAAGCAGCTGCATGTGGGAGGAAAATATAGACACAAAGTTCATCAGAACTCCATATGTCAGTAAAAGGTAAATAATCGCAGGAGTAAATCACTGCAAGATAAGTCCTTAATTATTTAGGGTTAAACAGCAGCAGCATTACCGTTGCAAAGTAATATTTTGTTAAACACTAATCCTGGGAATAATTATATAGAAAGACATTCTGTACAAGAAAGGAAGGCAAAACATGGATTGTGATGCTTAGAAACATTTTCAAATAAATGGGAAAGAATATTAAAAAGCATGAACAAAAAATATATCTAAAGGAAAAAAAAGAAAGAAGCTGTCACTAATTATTTTTTTTAATAGTAGCTTCAGCTATTTCAAGTATCTCTGAGATGCTTCTGCTAATTTCTGTTTGCAATTACATTTCCTTATTTTTTCACCTTTCCTGCCTTACTACATGAAAACCCTGCACTAAGCACAGGAAAAATTGACTAACTGGCAGTAGTGAGAGGGTGTAACTGACTAACTGGTGACACAAACAAAGTGCTTTCAAATTCACAGATCAAACTAGCTGGGAGTGAAAAAAGATATAAAAAAAATTTTTCAATTCCTTTCTTGCATACTCTGCCTCCCATAAAAAAATGAGTATTTTAAAACCTTGGGAAGGAAAAAAGAGTGGGTTTTTTGATTAATAGCACTCTCTTATTTAAGGAGGAAAAGGACATACAACATAAAAAAGGAAATTGGTCTTGCATTTATGAAATCATGTGCCAGATTCTCAGCTGGCGCAAAATAGCAGTATTTGCCTTGCTTAGGGGATGTAATTCCAATCTATATCAGCTGAGGATCTCACCTAAAGAGCTTTCCTCTTATAAAAACATATTCAGACTCACCTCGATTTAGACATTGTACTAGATTGAAACTGGATTGAAGTCTCATATTTCAAAATAGTTTTCAACCTCTTCTTTCTATATTTTATCTGATATCCTCTTTTATGGTCAGAAATAGCAGAAGATGTAAACATTCAATGAAGTTTACTAGATTTGCTATACCCTCAAGGCCTACTTAGGGACTTTGATGCATGCCTTCTTAAAGCAGAAAGTACTTGCATAGTACACTGATATGAAACTGCTTAAAATCTCTAGGGAACATCTACCCATCTCCTCCATGAACCGGGTTCACATATGTATGCATAAACCTGCCAAGGGTGCCTATATGCCAGGGACAGAAAGACACCCTAACTTCCACGCTCACGTTCAGACTGGCATTTCACCTTTGTGTAGGTGGGTGCCGGCTTCTAGGACATTATCCCAGGTTTTTAACTCTTCGTCTGTGAGTGCTACTTTCAAGAATTGGCTTGGAGAGTATTGTGGGAGCACTTGACTGTTCCTGTTGGCCCTCTGCAGAAAACTGTTCTAGCTGACTGCTTAGAGGGGTGACGCTTTCTCCACTGAAAACAAAACAAAATTTCAAATTGAGCACAGCAGCACCAAGCTAAGTCAGTTAGGGAAGGAGCTCCAGGGGAACTCGTGTGCTTAAGGAGCTTAGGTGCCTTCTAAAAATCCCATACCTCGACATTTCACGCTCATGCAAAAAGCAGAAATATCATCCATGTACTTTTCACACAGGAAGAACAATCTCTACCAATGACTGTATCTAGGTAACAAAATCTATATTCATATTATGAAAACAATCTTCAACCGCAATGTTCATGTTTTGTAATGTGGGCTACTTTATGTCACAACTCCCTTTTTTATTTTAATTACGAAAATTTTTATTGTGTTTTCTTTTTTACTAAATTTCAAGTTGAAACTAGAGTTATGGTCAGACGTGTGAAAATTGCACCTCACAGTTCCACAGACATTTTCCCCTCCGACTTTCAGATCAGATCCTCTCGGCTGACAACTCTCAGGCAATTCTCTCTCAGCCTAGTCCCACACTTGCACTCCCTTGGAAGTTCATGCTTTCTGTCAGCAGTACGTTTGCATCAATACAGCCTCCTGCATACTCCAAAGTCAACCTGGAGAAGCTTACTAGCTTATCCTTTCTGATTCTTGGAAATGTCAAGGCAACTCTGTATCCTAAGACCAACCTAATGCTTATAAAACAAAAGCCTCTACTGAAGCAAGGCTGACCTTGTAGAAGAAACACGTATGAAGAGTCAGGAAGCTCCATGGTAACATTTTCACATGCGGAAAGTGGCTGCACTTCAACCACTGTGTTTCAGTAGTCACACACTTGCTAACACCTCAAAAAAGTTCATCTGTAATGCTGTCACTTGTAACCAGTCCAATTATCTCTGCTCATTCAACAATGAAAAACCCAGTCTCCTATAAATGGCCTGGACACGAAAGTTTAACATCCTAGGAGACAAAAAACACAGCAAGTTAAGATCTTACTCAAGAGCCCTACACAAATGAGTAAGTGGGCAGAACGTGGCCCCTTGGTGTAGTGTACATGGCCTAGAAACACATCTGATCCTGATCATCAGGGCTACCAAGGTGACTATGAACACGCAGTTATGCGACGGTATTTCTTTAGAACATATCAAGAAACTGTATCAAGCAGACTCAATATAGACATGATACTATCAAGCGGTAAGGCAAAACAAACCCAATCTCTCTCCGTCTGCTCTAGGCTGAGTGCTGTGGCTGCCGTGAATTAGGACTTTACAGCAAGATGTAAATGAATCAAAAATGCAATCAGGACGTTTCTGAAAGATGAACAAGTATGAACTCCACCAGCACATGGTATTTATTAGATGAAGAAATGAGTATGAACTGCAAAGCAGCCTTCCAAGCGCACACAGTTATTCTTTGTGATCTTTGGAATTTCACAGCCACTTTGGGGCTGAGAGTGTCAAAACAATCTGCCAGGGAAGCCTGGATACACCCAAGGAGACATTCAAAGGGAAATGTGATAGCATCAGCAGAGGAGCTCAGTTACACAAAAGGAGAGGTGTGGCTGAACCACAACTTTTCTGATTCACATCAAGGCTTTCCCAAAGTTCAGAGCTGCCCTATCTGAAGAGGATGGTACAGACCCAGAGCCACAAGGAACACACAGTTATTTTCACAACCGGCTTCACTTAAACACTAACGACAAAGAGGTAACGACAAAAAACAAGGGGGAAGAGAAGACAAGGTGGGCTCACCAGAGTGTGTCCTGAGGTGTCCTGTGAGGGCGTCCCTCCGTCGGCAGGCATAGCTGCAGAAGGGACATTTGAACGGTTTCTCCCCAGAGTGCAACTTGATGTGCCTCAGCAGATTCCCCTTCTGGGTAAAAGAAGCTCCACATTGGTTACAGTGGAAGGGGCGTTCACCTGGAAGGGAAATGGCAGGGAGAGAGCTGTCAAAAAACATAGGAAGATACACAAAGGCCATTATCCTGCTGTAAGAGTGCCATCTTACACAGGCATGATCCCCACCCACCATCAGCACATGGCACTTGCTAAAGTCAGAGGCCAGGGTTTTTTTTTTTTATTTTTTTATTTTTTTTATTTTGCACAAAGGGCAAAGCCTTCAGCAGGCATTTGGAGCGCTTTCCTTCTGCAGCACCAGCTTGAGGTGATTAACACAGCCTGATTTTCATAAAGTTCTCAACCTCGGAGGTTTTATCCTTCATAAAAGATGAGCTCTGCTCAAAATCAAGATCCATAACTGTGGTGTTGTAGTATTTATCTCTACGGTTTTGAACTTATTTTTAGTATAGGTGCAATCCATATGAGTATTTAGAACAGATTATAACAATTGGACTTGGGCAGATGTTAAGGCCTTTGCTTCAGATCAAATCTTTTGCTCATATTATACATTAATTGAAATCCCTTTTTGAAGGCTGCTTTGCATTGCTAGAGTGGTATGAAGAGAACTGATGCAAGTGAGGATCAGGCCCACAAGCTCTGAGCAGTAGCAAACATTGAGAAAATCTTACACCATTAAACTGTGAAATAAAGCGAATTTGTGCTCTAAGTAAAACTAATTGAAAAGACTTGTTTGATGAAAAAAAAAATGAACAGAAACTCTACACGTTACGCTTTCCTTTCACCCCATGCATTCACACACACATGCAAAACTTATTTTGATGTTAATCCTTCATTTTTGCCCCAGACAGCGGGGATTGGGTCCATAACAGCAAACACCAAAAATTTTAATTATTATTATTATTTACAGGAAAACCTCTGACAAACTCACACAGGTTTTGTGAAATATTATCAAAACCATACTCGATGTCAACATTTGTTGAGGACGCTCAGCCTGTTCCAGCATCCTTGGGCAGGCAGTCAGCTCTAATCATCAACTTACATCCCACCAGGTACAGCTGAAATCAATAGGGCACAAGCATATACTCCTGCTGGCCACTTGCCTAAGTGCTTTACTGCAGCTGGGCTCTAGATGCTGACATGTTTTCACCAGCTAGGGCCCCAGTTCAACAAGGTCTTGAACATCAGATTTCAGATGTATGCAGTCTCATTCATTTTTTCAGTTTATCACCTATTACGGAGCCTTAGTCAACGCCTGGCGGGACTTTCTAAGGTTGAATTCATTGGCCTCAAGCACAGCTCTTCTGAAAAACAAACGTGTTCTGTGATCTATCACATCTCTCCAAAGCCTTTTTCAGTTGCTTTAAAATTATTACTCCCTTGCTGGATAAAATTAAGGCTACATTTTAATCAAAGTAGTTCATATGTTTAGTGTAAAGTACAACATACGTCTGTTGATTCAAATGGAAAGAGAAGGAGGAAGAGACCTCTTACAGATGTCCACAAGCAGTTCTTGCTTCAGGGGCTGAAATCACTGCCAGCATTACAGTCCTGCCAGGAGGGCAGCAGAAGGCACGTGTGCCGTATACATCCCATACCTCTGCAACTTCACTTCATGTGTGTGAGCTGGAAATTACATCTGAAACCACTGCAGATGCACTGAAGAAGATACTAAGGTTCCTACAATCTTGCCAAGAATGTTATGGAATAATGATTTAAAAAAATCAGGGCAAAAAGCTCTTCTTCCAATATGCTGAACACAAGCTCATTGGAATTGATAAAAGAGTTTGTGGTTTCCCTTTTAAACTCCTACACTATATTTAAAAGATCTGATTAGCCATTATCTTCTTTTATATCATTTCAAAATGTCCATAACAGAGATATGTAAAGAGACTGCAGTAGAAAAATAGATGGGGTTGTTTTTTTTTTTTCTTTTCTGTTTTGCTTTCACTGTATGAGAAAACAGGCAAAACCCCTTCCTTTGACATGTTTCTCAGTATTCAGGAATGATAGCTTCAGTTTCAGGATGACAACATTAAAGAAAGAAGCGAGCTGCTTACCAAGTCTCAAGTCTTTCCTTTTACTCCTGCTGTATTTAAAACTATGCAGTTGATGTGTTTTACCCACTACGTCACCCACTTATCTTTGACATTTTGGAGGCCACATATGAGCAGGTATTATTCCTCAATAAACTGGCAGCTGAAGAGATGCTGAAAGCCCTTGGTCAGGAATTCAAACAGTCAGTGCACGACAGTTCAGTGGCAGAGATGACATAAAAACACTCACCACAAAGTCACCAATAGTCTGCTCCTCTCTTGCAACAGACAGAATGCGCTACAATAGCACATCTTACCTTAAATAACCTTTTCATCTATTTAGAGCCAGCATGAATTCATTTTTCCTACTGGCTTAATTCTGGGTAAACAGCTGCTTTGATCTGTTTATTGTATTCTTCTCCAATCATTCAATTCCTGCTCCTTGTTTAAGCTGCAGGCTTGGGGGATGACCGTAATTTTAGTCACACCTTCACACTATTGATTAGCAGCTTTTACATTTAGCACAGCTAATTTTAGAGACAATTATCCAATAGAAGGGTACAGATTACTTACAAAAAAGTAAAAACTGAATAATAAGAAGATCTTGCTGGTTTTCCAAGAACTCTGCTGTCTGATCCCCACTCCAGACACTAGCAAACCAGCCTTCTTTCTCACTTCACTGCCTTAAGAAGACTGTTTTCCAATTATTTCTCCTGCTGCCTTTTCCTAGTAGGTTTGTAAGTGGTTCTCCAGTATTATTTTTTCCTAATAACAAAATAAGAACCTTGACATCCTTATTCACTTCCCTTACACTTCTGTGACAAGCAGAAGATTTATTCATAGGCTGAAATTAATCACACTTCATTCTAAACATACCCACTCAGGAAAAGTCTTTACCTAAATACATTTCTTCTCTACATGGCAACCCCTGAGTGTGTTTAAAATGTTTTCCTATCTTTGGGGGTGATAGCAGCACAGACATACCAGAAGCTTATAGACCTACTAAAAAAGTGGCATACACGACTACAAGAGGCTATTGATAATAAGAAGCATGGTGTGTAATTCACAACTGTAGCTATATATTACCCTTTGACTCTACAAACTTACACTGATTTATTAAAATAAGAACTCCTTATAAAAAAGGACATGTACCGAAATGTGACTAAGCAATCTTTTTGCTTTTCAACACTGGAAACTATGTGACTGCAAAGTATTTTTAGTCTACTTTAAGTAGCAAACCTTTTCTCTACTTTAGAGCTAAACTAGGGCAGAAAAACCTCAAACCTTAGTGATTTTAAAAAAAAAAAAAAGTTTGAGTGAGGAGAGGGTGAGCTAACCAAACAAAAAAAAAAGTTTCTTTTCAACTCCAGACTTAAGATCTAAAGCCAGACAAAACCAAGAATGCCTAAAAAGCCTTGTTCTCCAGCACAGGGAATTTAACTATCCGAAGTTACTTCAGGAATGGACAAGGTAAGGTAAGCCAGAGCTGCAAAGTATTACCTTTCATAAAGGCTTAGTAAGAAGGGTTTATGCCAGGGAAAAGCCTTGATAATTAAAATAAATTAATAAATAAGTAAATCCATGGGGGTTTATCAATTTACAGTTAAATAAAGTATTAATTAAAAGGCATGATTTCAAATTTTTACCTCTAAATTACAGTAAAATACTGCTAAAACTTCACAGTTCATTGATTAACATACATCCGTTACAGCTATGTCTCCTCCACGAAAAATAATAATGAAATAATACTGCTCTTTAGCTACAGTAGTATCTAAAGTACACAAGTTAACTTGCTGTTGTGTAAACAAACACTGAGATAAAAGGTGAAGTGGACCATCGGAGTCAGGGTCCTTTCACAAGTATCTTTAATATATGGCAGCTGGCTGGAGACTTCACAGCACAAAGCCACGAACACCGTCTGGCTGATACAACCCGAAACCGGGCGAATGAACTGATTGACTTCCTACTAATAGCTTTCATATTTTACTGTGTATATGTCAAGTGTTATTTCAAAAAGCAAACCAACTCCTTTTTCTGCTTAATTGGAAGCTTCCCTGCACAGCAGCTCTCCTTTACCGCCTCAGCACGGAAGTGCTGCGCAGAAGTTTCAGTATGAGTTATCCTTCTTCGAATCTCATACCGGTGCAAAATACATCACTGATATTTTCTGTATCAAAACAGAAATTTAACTGAGGACAAAGAGCCTGCAGACCTTGCAACAAAGGAGACTTAGATTTTCATAACCTTTGACTGGTGACTTTTGTCCCTTTGAAATCAAACGGAGCGACTCACAAAATAACACATCATAATGTTCTTGTTAACAGCCAGGCATGGTTATTTCTACAGCAGTGCTCAGGTCTCTTCCTGGGAATGTTTTAATTATTAAAAAAAAAAAAAAAAGCAGCTTTTTTAAAGTCCCTTCACAGTAACAAGAAAAGCCAGGATAGGGTCTTTCTGAACATAAGAACCAGGTCCAATGGGACTCCATCTAACATCTGCCCCGGTTAAATGTATATCTAAGATGTCAGCCTTTTTTGTCTGGCACATACTTTTGATATGCGAAGGCAAGCTTAGGTACTTCTCAAACAGGACATTTTTTTTCTAACCTCTTAATGCCAAATTACTGTGTCCATGCTGCCATCAAAAATCATTTGCTCATACTGATAATATTGATTTTCACCCTTCTGCAGCAGGCTTTTTGTTAATATTCAGTTAAAATGAAACATTTCTCCTGATTCATCAGATGCTGCAAGCACTCTGATTCTGCTGTCCCAGGAGCACAAATGAAATATTAGCTGTGCTACTGACATCCTGACAGGCAGCGAGTTGCAACCTGCCTTTACCCAAGCGAAATACAGAGCAGCAGGCTTTGCTCCATTTCGGTATTTGTTATTCTGGCGACTATCTAGTCTGCATACCTACTTACTGTTCTATCAGATTCACTTAGCAGGCTGCACATCACTTAAAATCAGTGATTTCCCTAGCTTTTTTGTTGGGAAAAATCTACTTACAGACAGGACAATTTACAGAACAGAAGTGACAAATCTCTCATGAAAAATTCCTGGGAAATCCTGAGTGATTTCCAAGTGTCCTCTGTACAGAAATTTATGACCATACTCTTAAGAGAGAAAAATCCTTTAAGTGAACTGGTAAAAATATCAGAAAAGTTTAGCCACTGAGTACTGCAAGTAAAACACATCTTCCTGCAGGGAGTGATTTCAAAAATCTAAGCTCTCCTTCCTTATGCTAAAAGAGAAAATGAGACATTTGTAAAGTTTAGATTTAGGAACATAAGCAGAAAGTATCACTTGGAGAATTTTGGCCCTACAATTTTTGATTCAGTACCAAATCAATTCATATTGCAAGAGGTAGGAGGCTGCATTAGGTTACAAATTACAAATTAAACCAAACAAAACCTTTCTACTAGAAGAATAAGACAGGCAGTTAATTGTAATGTTTGTTTAAATTTGTTCCTGGTTAGCTTCTTTAAAGTCTTCTATACTGAACAGCGTGGTTGGGGTTTTCCTGCTTTATTGTGTCTCAAAAACTTGAACTCTGCAGTGTTGCATGGGTTCAGCTGTAACGGTATGGATGCTAAGACAGAACTTGAAGACTTCCCTCATGGGCACATAACGTATCTCTTTTCACTGACTTTAGGGGTACTAAAATCCACCTTGAGTGCAAGCAAAGATCTGAGACCCTCCTGCAGCTAGCATCCCCAAAAAGCCTAAAAATAACCTATCAGCCGCCCCAAGTGAGAGTGGGGCAAGACTGCTATCCCCGCTGCCTGCTGCGTCGTGCCCTGTACCCGGGGATCCTCACTGCATCCACACAGAGAAAGCATTTAACCTCTGGCTGTTCTGAAAACCAGAAGGATGGTCCCAACCTTCCCTTAGAAATAAAAAGTGTTTCAGAATCCAGCAGTGGACTAGATAAAGGATGCGGTGTTACGGTGGAGGAAAAAAAAATCACAATTCACAGCCCAAGGGACAGCAACACGTGGACCTTGCAAATCACAGAGGCAGCAGTACAGCTGCACCAGCAAATGGTTTCCGCTTTGCCAAAAATGAGGAGCAAGCAAATTTTAATTCAGGCCCACTAGCAGAAAGCCTAGAGAGGCGAGAAATCACTGGAGTTCCTTTTCATTACCTCAGACAAACTGGATTATTGACCTTATCTTCTCCCTCTCCCCTTCCCTCAGCATCCCCAAGCACAAGCCCCCAAAGTATCCAGTGGCAATATTATGTGACCAGTCATCTCCCGCAGTAACAAAAAACTCTGATAAAGATGCTGCAATTTAGGGCATGTGCTGTGGAATATGAAATTTGGACCAAAAGAAGATAGTATGGGAAAGGAGGAAAATAAATCAAACCTGACACATGCTGTTTTCCTGACATGAGGACTTGGCACGTGAGAGAGGGGGTGGAGGGTTACCCCACTCAGGAAAGCAGGGAGTGCATCGTGCTTAATTCTCACATTGAGCGTTTTATTTATTTTCTGTCAGCGATGACAAATAAATAGAGAGGCTTTCTCATGATGCCCATGCAGATTAAAAAAATGTTTCACCTGAATTATCAGTGTTTCAGAAAAATGTCGTGTTTGGCAGTATCAGATGAGCAATGCCAAGGGCTCCGTGACGGAGGTGTCGCGGACCAAAGCATTGCTTCCACCACGCACAAGGGGCAGCGCTTGTGCAGATCTGAAGGGTGAATGGGAAATCCCCAACTTGGTCTACCATGGGAAGGGGTGACTACAGGCACCAGAGGACACAGATGCTCCAGCACACGAGGGTGAGAGACAGGACACAGAGTATATCTACTCTGGGCTAATCCACGGCACAGATTATTCTCCCTGTCCCTGTATCTGTTTGACTGAACTACCGTAATGTGGCAGGGGAAGACAACTGCTCCTCAGGAACAGATGAATAATGGCTGGAGAAAACTGCGACTTCACATGTGTAACACAGCCAAAGCCACATGGAACAGCTTCTCACAAAGCCTGGGTCCCCGGAGTAAGGAAAGCCACACGCTTGTCCCAGCATACGTGCAATTTACAGCCTCTACTACGGACCGCAGCATTTTGTGTGATTTACATAGAATGCTGACAGGTTTTTCTGGGAAGGGAAAAGGACCTTAGTTTTTGCCAATGCAAACAACTGGCCAGACCATGCTTTGGTTGTGTATAGATAAACAGGAGAGAAAGGCGGGATTCAGCTCCCAAAACATACTTAAAGTGGCTTTGGGAGGTAAGGATTTACATGCCAGTTGCATTAGCCGATAAAGAATATCATCTACTTCCACCCACTAGGGACAACCTCCCTTCCCTCCACTGTTCTCCCCTGGGCTGCAAAACCAGACTACCCACAGGTCAGGGCTCATTCCAGAGCTGGGGCCAGCCCATGACACCCGGCTGCCGAGGAAGTGGCAATATATTTTGAAATGCTGCACTTTAAAAGATAGATACCAGTATGTTAAAAATATTCCTTTAAGTCAAGGATGTGGAAATCCAAGCAAACTTCTCCTTCTGTTGTGGACAGTGAAGTAGCAGCATGTATTAAAAAACAAACAAACAAAGTGGGGGAAAAAGAAATCCCACGCAAAATTTGCCAACTGGTTTACTGAGAGTAGAGCACCGAGCCGCACATTAAAAGGAATGCCATTTCTATATGCTTGAAATCATCTGTATAGAGCAATACATCACAGCTCCTCAGCTCAGATGGGGAAAGTCAGAGCTCTACGATGAACCAGCAGTAGCCCAAAGGAAAAAGCTACCCGTTATGCAATTCCTACCCATGCACCTGCATACAGCCGTCTTGCCTGCACGCAGATGAGATTTTGTTCTGTTCTCTTTCAATTTGCATGTCTTCTTTAACATGAAAAAGGCAGCTTGTCTGTATTTAAAGGACACACTAGCTACTTAGTATCTCAAAAAATGCAGACCGTTTAATTAAGTGCCTCAATCTAAATTTAGCAGGTGTAATTTAGCTGCTCAAGTTCAAATACACGGACTCCGATGCACCTACAATACATATGCTCGGATACGCGCAAGCACTAATGAAAACTTTTAGGCAGGTTGAAAGCTGGGTACTCAGTCTGTTACATTCTCTTTCCAAAAAGCATGTCAAATTGTTAATCAAGATTTTGGTTCTTCAGATAATGCTTTTCACCTGTCATAACTGCTGCCTAAAATCACAACTGCATCATAAACGATACCGCAATGCTTCGCATTATACATTTATGTTAAGTTACTATCAATACAACTTACTTACAGAGCATTAACTATGTAATATATATTTATTATTCCTCTGTACAGAAATTCTATTGATTTCTTTCCCATCAAGAGCACACTACTTGACTGCAAACTACCAGGTTTACAAAGGGATTACACAAAGTCTTTCTTACTCTACCTTAAAACCCCACTTTTCTTTTTCTATCTTAGCTCACTGTCAGTGTGAGTCTCTAACCCCATTAAATAATAGCAGAGAAAGACAGAAAAACAAAATATCTTTCCTTTTGTCCAAAAAATATGAAGAACAAACACCCACTGAGGCTCCAACACAGAAACCTACACTTAACTTTAATAAGATTTAAGTGTGTATCTTAAGTTAAGCATGTATTGTAGCACTTCAGGTGACTTAAATCTCATCAAAGTTAAGCACAAGCTTAAGTGCTTTTTGAATCAAAGGCTCTGCCAGGTAGACCTCTGCAAGACCGGAGAGCATTGTCCTCTGGCACCTTCTGTGCTTTTATCCTGTTGGAGGTAACTGTCCCTCCCACCTGAGCACCAGCATAGGCAAATGAGCAGCCTCTTGGACACCTCACTTTGTCATATTAGCCAGAACACCCCTGAAATTCCCTTTTTTGAACTTAAGGCCTCATCTTTCAGGCCTGAAAGACCTGTTCAATCGGCATATCCCACAGGTTTTGTCTGCCTCTTGAGTTCTCAAATCCATAAGCCTAGTAAGCTGTTTTGGTCTCCAAACAGTAATAGTAGTAATAGTAATAAAAATAAATTATAAGAGAGTGCAGGTATTGAAAGGTGCCACAAAAATGGCCTCTGGATGGCGAGGGGGAGCCAAGCACTAGCCCACAAGAGTGCTTCAGGTGAGATTTCCCTGATGGAGCTGTCACAGGATGAGCAACAAGCCCATCCTGGCATCAGGATCTCTAGGTAACGAGTGTCCCCTGCGGGGCTGGCTAATCCCAGGTTTGCCAGGCCACCGGCATCAAGCCCAGCCACTTGCAAAGAAGGCATGAGATCCCCAGGAAGCTGCTGGCGCTGTCCACCTGGGAGCACCTCCAAGGGAAGACTAAGGCTCACAAGCCTTGCACATGCGCACACACATGAACACACACACACCCCCCATGACAGACAATGACTCTCACCATCTAGCCCCTGGTCAAGAACAGTAAAGAAGGCAATTTCCAGACTTTTGTGCTGATTTAAGAAAAAAGGCTGGAAATCAATGTCAAGGAAGCACCATGCTTGCCAGAAACACAGCATCACCAGAATTCAGGAAGAAGGAAAAGAACCAAACCAACGAAGCCTGTCTTTCCCTCCCCAGCCTCCTGCTACCCCCCAAACGAAAAGGAAAAAGAGAAGAGTTGTCAGGTAATATCAACATTAGATGCCACTGCCAGTCATCAGATTTTCTTTCAGCTGCTTACCAGTGTGGCTCCTTTTATGTACCATTAGCACATTGGGCCCAATGCAAACCATGCCACAGACGTCACATTTCAGTTTACCATTCGGAAGCCGGATTCCTCCCTCGTTTGTTAGCTCCTGGATCTTTCTGTTATCCGCCATCTCGTTACTCTCAGTGAGGGGCTCTTCCAGGCTGCTTCCTTCATCATGAGCCCTGATCTCATCGTCCTGACTCAGGGGCTTCCTGTCACATTCCTCATCACTTTGCATTTCTAGCTTTACTGAATTTGCTGAAATAAAAAAAAAAAAATTAAAAAATAATTTAAAATGTGTATTTTCCAAGTTCCCAATCACTAATATCATGATAAATTTCTATTATTATCAGTATTAAAGCACAGCCTTGAAGCTCAAACCAACATGAGGGTCTCGTGGTGGTGATGGCACCACAAGTTACAACTGCATGTTTCTACAAGGCCTTGTTCGTTTGTTTTTTAATTCCTAATTTCTATCCCTATTTTACAGCTTAGAAACTAAGGCACGGTGTGATCCAGAGACCTACCAAAAGCTGCAGAGATGCGGCAGGCTTAAGAACTGACCTCCTGCTTCTCAGCTTGAAACACAGGAGCCTCCTTCCGTTCAAGGAGCCCAAGATACAAAAGCAAAGGACATAGCCACAGCTGCTTCTTCCAGCTCTCTCCTGCCTTGTGCACCAAGACACAGGGTTTCCAAAGACAGGACACAGCTCGTGGAAACAAGCACCCTTCACAGGCAGGAGTGTTCAAACCACAGGGACCTAGTGAAGCCGGGCTTGGGGGCTGTGTTGGTCATCTCCACATCACTCTGCCCACACAGGCAGGTTTCCTGACAGAGAGGAGACCAATCTCTGGACGAGCCTCCAGTGCTTTTTTTGCTACCATCTTCTGATTCATGTAAATGGGATGCTGCCAAGGCAAACAGGTCTGAAGGGAGCCCTACGCTGCTGGCTTATTTATATTTGCAAGTGAAATAAGCACAGTTGAAGATATTTCATATCTGCCTGGTTAGACTGCCGGGCTCACCGCCGATTTCTGCGATCCTCGGGTCACAGGCTAAACCTTCTCTAACAAGCAAGAGCTTGTGGGATCATCAAATCGTTAAAGAAAATGAATGCATCGGGCTTTCTCACGTAGGGGTGTCAGTGTCGGTGCAGGGGTGTTTTTATCACCATCTCAATGCCTCAGTGGTTGGTCGGAACTGCTGAAAGGCCTGTCCCAGAGTCACACTCTCCATCCACCCTGTCAGCCAGAGGGCAAGCCCACGTGCCTGCTTCCCTAAGCCTTGATCCTGCTGAGGGGTTTAAAAAGGAGGTGATTCAGCCTTCATTTCTAAGCAGTCTTTGACCTCTGTACTAAGGCCATTAGCACAAGTGCTGGTGACAGCAGAGGACCCGGAGCACAGCTGTGTGCCCTGGGCCTGGCCGGTGTCTCTGAGCCCTGGCCAGGTGAGCTCCAGAGCAGCTGCCCAAGGGGTCCCTGCCCGGGAGCCCAACCAGGGAGTTAGGAGGAAATGTGTCTGACTGCTGTGGGGCATCACAGTTTCAAACAGCCAGCCTGGAAATGTCAGAAGAACAAACCCTAGAGCTTAGACTTCCTCACTCCTCCTCCTTCCTCCTCCTTCCCCAGAATTTATGGTTAAAGCAAACACAAGGTTCAGAGACTGATGTTGATGTTACAACTCTAAATTGCTGCTCTTACTCCTAGGCAAAGCATAATGAACAGGGTAAAGGCACCACAGCAATGGTTAGATGTTGCTTTTTAATCACAAAATTGATGAAACACATCTTCCACTGTTCATCAAGGCACTAATGAGAACTAAGGAGTGAAAGTATTATTACGACAAAGCCCACCCAGGGCAAGGACACAGCCCGATCAGATCACAGCAGACTAGCATCAGCACAGGCACCGTCATCGAAACGGTCTGTAACTGTGAAATATTTGAGCACTTCATTTATAGAAGGGAATTGATATTTTTGTTGCTGCAAAGATGCATTTATTGTTTTTTTTTTAAAAAAAAACCAAAAAACAAAAACAAAAACACACACACACAAAAAAAAACAACAAAAAAAACCCAAAAAACCAAAAAAACGGAAAAACCAGCACAGGCTGAGAGCTTGACCACGACCCGTCCCCAGCTGGTGGCCGGAGGCAGCACACAGCTGTTCTGGCCTGGGGGTGGGACAGCTGTCCCCACCTACACCCAGCGTGATGGAAGAGCACAGTCCCCGCGGGGACAGCTCTCTGCTCCACAGTGCTAACCCTGGTACCAACAGCACTCACAGGGAAATTGGTGGACAAAAGCAACCTCTTGCACCCAAACGTGGCCATCAAAGAGACACCTTAAACTTTATGTAATTGCAAATCACCCCCCAAGGACAAGATACATTTTTCTTAATAGTTTCTTCTGCAAGGCCACCACTACCTCAACAAGGGGAGGAAGAAAGGCAGGAACAGGTCAACAGGCTGTTGCATGGGGAGCATGAGGGGGCTTGCCCCACCACGGCAGCAAGAGAAGCGATGGGAAACCCCAAGCCCAAGGTACAGTGAGGGGCACAGCCATCACCAGCCCCGTCACCGGGAGGACATACCCTCGGTAGAGGGGCTTAGCAGAAAGAAGGGAGAGCGGGAGCACTGCCAGATCCACAGGCTAGCAGGGAGAAAGGCAAGGTCCTAGTCCCACCTCCCCGAGGAAAGCACATGTTGGTGATTTACGGACAGCCCACTTTCAGAGCTGAGGAATGGCAGTTCCCTCTAATAATAGCAGCCTTTTGGGGTATTCACCAAGTCCAAGAATGAAGCCCGAATAAATGGTTTGCTGTCTGCAGGAGCAGGATTTAATACACTTGGCCACACAAGTAGCTACAGTAGAGCCAGAAATAGTGCCCTGCACTCTTCATCTAAAACCCCGGGTCACTGCCACAAGCCTGCACACTCTCCTCGCACAGTAACGCACAAAATAACCAAAAAACCACATGCCAATTGTGTATATTTATATGTACTCACACGAAAGAGAGAGAAAGCCTCGTATCTTATGTGTCTTCTTACGTACATAAATTTTTGTCTCTGTTTCTCTGACACGGAATAATAAGCTCTTGACTGTATTAAGTGCTGAGCACCACTATTTCCCATTCAAGTCTGTGGACCTCTGCCTGCTCAGCATATATGAAAGCAAGGCTGCAAGAGCTTACAAACTGGAAGATCACTTACTTTGTCTTGCCCTAGCATTTCTTTCTGCTGAATGATGGCTTTCATCCAACAGGATAAACAGCATAGCAAAACGGAGCAAGCCATTTGCTGAAATGCAGCCTCCCCAAACGCACAGTCCTCCACAACTCCTGCAAACGTAGCCCGGGTAATTCATGTTGCATCTTTCATGATATCCCAGCTATTCCGCAGAGGTGTGCAGGCTGTTTACTCTTCTTACTACCCTCACCTTCACACACACACAGAGCACCGCTGTTGCTGTTTTCAGAAACTCTCTGCTAGCTCTGGTGCTGCGGGAAGGTTTCCTTCCGCTGGGACTAGTCGCAGGTCTCCAAGCACTGCTGCAGCAGGGATCTCCTCCGCTTGTTGCGAGGGCTTTGCTAATCTGGTCATCTCCACTCCCTTACATCATACTGGTGTGTATATATTAGGCTTGTGTGGTAGCTTGCATACAAACAGGTGCTTAAATTGCATATAGTTTGTTTTCTCTGTTCTCAGCCAGGCCTTGAAACTACAATCGTTTAGAGGCATTGCCTTTGTTTTCACCTCCAGCCACAAACTCAGAGAGCATAATAAACTCTGCTGCAAAGACAAAAGAAATATTCAAGGGATGTTTACAGCTATCCTGTGTGATACACAAGTCTCCACATCAAATTTCGCCCTGGGTTCCCTTGCCTTTCTTGTTCATACACTTGCTAAAAGTGGCAGGCTTTCTCATTCCTTGGCAGAGCAAAGCATAAATAAGTAAATGAAAAAAAAAAAAAATCAAGTTTTTGGCACTTTTCCTAAAAATCACAGCAAAAGAGAAAGTAGAGATAACCTGTAATCCAGCTCACTGGAAAAGCATGAACTTGAAGTCAAACCTTTTCCCTCCAGTTAATACAAGTTCCTTCCACTTTCTCCCAGTCCAGCACAACACCTTGTGGGAAAAAAAGAGACAAACAGCCACAAAAGCTTCTACCTGTGAACACAAAGCCAATGGCACATATTCACTAGATCACACAGCAACGTTTCCTTCTTTTTTTTTTTTTCTTTTTTCAGAGCACCAACCTGCTGATCCTGAATCACACTTCATTCTGAGTGGCCAAATTGAATACAATTATTGTTAATGTCTTGTAAGTGCTAATAAAACTGCAATTCCCTGTTAAACAGCATTTTGGCAAGTTTTCACTACCAAAATATTTACTTCACCCACAAATTAGTGCAGCTACAAACCAGAAGCTGGAAGATCCACCTAAGAAAAATATTCCTAGTATTTTATCCTCTGTCATGGAAATTTGTTTCCCTCAAAAGTGGGATCTGGGGGAAAAAAAAAATCCCAGAGTGAAGTGTAACTTCAAACACAGTGGAGTGTAAATTAAAACATTTTTAAATTAAAACATGTTTTAAAACATTTCTAAGCAAGTAAGCTAGAGTGCAACTCCCACTACAGAACAAAATTCCTTCTGTCCAACACACCAGGGAGCAAGCAGCAGGACTGTGCCACTCTGTCTCCTCCACAGTCTGCTGTCCTAGGTCGTTGCTTATTTTATCTGTGGCCTTGGGAAACCAGGCTGGCCACTGTCACCAAGGGTTTGTGGTCTCCAGCTAGAGGTTAGCCTTTCCTGGCAGCAGCCATGCACCACCAGCCTCTTCCTGCTGCCCCCGGAGCAGCAGAAAAACCAAGCCTGACCCCTCAAGCCCTCCTTGCGCCTCTTCCCCCACCCCTCTTCTCTCACCAGCAGGAAACGAAGCTTTGGCCCAGCTTCAGATACTCATCCTTGAGGAGGCAAAAATTCAAATTTGCCGCCCCCGAGGAGCCTTGGGGTGGCTCTGTGGGCGCACACAGTGAAGGCCGTTTGCAGCTAATGCACAACGTGTTCTCTAACCAAACTCCTCGGGTAGAGCGGGGCTGGTGGTGCATTAGCTCTCCCAGGGTCTGCTGCAGATTCCCAATATAATGCAATATTCAAAGCCTGGATAATGTGTCTGTCTTTACCCCAGAACGCAAAGAAATTAAGATACCTGGAAAATGAGACTGATCTCCAACTCCCTCAGCACAGTGATAGGCA